TCAAAACCTCTTAGAAATGCAGAATCCGGAAAAGTTGGAGGGTTGTAACACAGGGGGTGTTACTACACCACCAATATTAAGTAATGAGGGACAAAATATTATTTTTATTGTTTTTAACAAGGCAGTATATAACTTATGCATGATACAATAAAAAAAATGTTCACCTGTTACTCGTCACATGTTTGATATAATATATTACAACCCATTTGTTTTGACAAATGGTAAGTCCAATATATGCTAGGGGTTAACTTTTTATGATTCAAAAAAACATCAAAACAAGCGGCTTTTATAAAAGAATATTTTAAAAACAAATAAAAATGTGGAAAATAACTTACATATGTAAAAAAGTGCCGGTGGACTTTTAATAAAGGATGTTTTAAAATAATTTGTATAATATTATGCGGTAAATATTAATTTCGGAATGTAGGCGCCCTTGTATCTGATAGGCGCCTTTAAAGTTTACGTATTAAAAAAGCAGATGAGAATTCTTGTTAAAATAAATATTACTGATAGTTTTGCTAAAAAGTTATGTAAACTCTTTTTGATTTCCGTGCAATAAGTTTTTATTAGACTTGCTATCTATAATGAAATTTCTATATTTAAACCAGACTAAAAAATGTAAAGCAAATAAATAAAAATTATACTTTTCGATAAATCAGAAAAGCTGAACAAACACCAAATTCCCTTGAAGTTGAAAGATAATATAATATTTTATCTTCAAGCGTTCTATAATTTAGGCTTTATTATTGTCAACGCTCACTACCAAAGTATTCGATTATCTCCTAGACTGTAAAAATAATTTTAAAATGTCATTAAAAGTTGACTTTTACATTATATTTATTAGGGGTCAAAACAAAAGTTTCTTGGCAACAGAAGTCTTTTACATTCGTTGTTATGTACGCAAAATACTAAAGTGATCGATTATCGCATAGGCTGTAAAACTAATTTGGACCAATCAGGTAAATTTGTTTATATCGTAGGCTGTTAAAAATTCGTTTTGACCAATTAAAAAATTCCATAACTGTGACTCACAGTTATGGAATTTTTTAATTGGTCAAAACGAATTTTATGTAGATCTCACAGTCTGTGAGATCTACCTAACCTCAATTTCTACTTTTAATAATTTTTATTATAATTGTATGTTTGGTGTATCGTTTAACAAATAAAAAGGCTAATACAATAAATAATTATAATTAATTAATAATTATTAATAACACTTAATTCTATCTAAATACTAACAAACATTTGTTGCTGCTTGTCTATCTTTTTATATACACTGCCCGTCAAAATTAACGCATAATAAGTAAAAAAATGCGAACAGTAACAAAGATACAGCGCTTCAGTCTTCAAAAATGACCATTTTCAGCAAAATAATAAAAAAGGAGTAATTTTTACCGACTTTGAAGCGCTGTATCTTTGTTACTGTTCGTTTGATTTGTACAAAATTAATTTAATTTAATTAAAAAAAAATTCTCTAAAAGTTATTTTTGGAACGGTTTTTTTATTATTTTATTATAGGGCTTTAAAAATATTTTTTTGAAAAACCCGCGAACACGTAAACTGAATTAAAAGTTGAAGTATTTGTATACAAAATTTCATACAGATTAGTTAGAATTTTTTTAATTATTATGCGTTAATTTTGACGGGCAGTGTATATAAAAAATGACCACTTTTCAGCAAAAAAATCTTAAAGGAGTCATTTTTAACGACTGCGTTAGTTAGTTAGTTAGTTAGTTACAACAATAATAATCCCTATAGGGATTATAAAAGCCATTTTTCGAACGTTTTTTTATTATTGAATAAAAGGGCTTTAAAAATAATTTTTCGAAAAACCCTCGAACGAGTAAACTGAGATTATGTATTTTTATCCAAAATTTTATAAAGATTGGTAAAGGCGTTTTGGAGTTGGATTTTTTTTACTAGTTATGTGGTATTTATCCAGAGTATTATATATTAAGTTTTATAAACGCAATTTTAGGCACAAGCGAAGCCTGTGAGCGAGTGTTTAATAAAAACGAGTAGTTTATAAAACGAGTTGCATACTACCAATACGTACAGTTGTATTCATTAAAAAAGCGTACAAGAATTAGAATGAGAGAAAACTGTCAACATTATTGCGTAAAAATTAATGCCACTTGAGAAATTTCCAAGAAAAAAACATTCGTATAAAAATCAAAAATTTTATCGGTAAAATTTTACCACTAGTGGTATTATATACGATAAAACCAAAATTTTCATGTTTGACGCAAGCACACGTTTCGCGATCTTTAGCTTTAGGATAAACTACTCACAATGGTTTACCTACATCTAAAGAAATTGGTGAAAGAAACTCTAGCAACTTGCTAGTAGCAAGTGTCACAGAAAAGACTACTAATAAGTGTATGCACTCATATTTTAATTAATTATTTCTTATTAACACCTATAAACATAAAATAATTTACTCACCTTGTTTAACTTTGACAGGTACTACAAAAGATATTTTACCTTGTTGAGAAACCGTTGCCGAGTTGAGAATATTATATTGTGTGAAAATAGCGTAATGGATTGGACATTTTACATTAAGGGGCATCAACTAAAATGCTCGTCAACAAAATTTTTTAGGTTCTTTTTTAAACAAAAAATAGTTAATAACTGCGGTGAAAATAATGAAATAAATGTATTAGCAGCCGTTGCTGCTAATCCTCATGCAAGCACACGATAATTATCTCGCGATTCCGGAATATCCCAGAGCAGTTTTATCAGAATATTAAAATGAAATAAATACCATCTTTACCATATTTCGTTACATCAGGAGCTTCATGGTTTGGATTTTAAAAATCGGGTAATTTTTTGTCAGTGTTTACGTGAACAAATACAACAAAATTCAAATTATTTCCATTTTGTATTGTTCTCCGACGAGTCGTCTTTTACGAACCACGGAACGGTAAATCGCCACAACATGCGTTACTGGAGTGTCCCTACATCATTGAAGGAAACTTAAATGGCGGAATATACCGAGATATTTTTGAAAATAAATTGCCCACATTACTTGAAGGCTTGGAAGTACTACAAAACATGTGGTTTCAACCTGATGGTTGTCAAGACACTATTCGGTGTTAGTACGTGAAGTACTTGATCGCAATTTGACAAGTTGGCCTGCTAGATCACCTGATCTTACTTCGCCGGATTTATTTTTGTGGGGCTATCTTAAAGACCGTATGTAACAACAAGTACCACCAACCCGTGAAAATATGATTGAGCGAATTAGAAATGCTTGTGCCGAAGTTCCTGCAGTTACGCTACTTACTTGTGTAGACTCATTTAAAATTCGAATTAATAAGTGCATTGAAGTCGAAGGCCACCATTTTGAGCACAATACAATAAAAATTCGAAAAATAAAAATTGTTTTGAGCTAAATTTGTATTAATAATAGTAACATCCAACAAGTTTTGCAGAATCGTATACAGAAGAAAAATATGAAAAAATATTTTTAACAAAATAGGTAGATTGATCCGAATCTGCAATAAAAAATAGGGTATTACATGGGAAAATTTAAAGTTACCCCATGCCGTCCCTATCAGGATAAGAATATGGGGAATAATTTTGGTACCAATTTATTTCCCCCCTCGAATCATTTAATTTGTATATTTACTGAGATATTTTAAAGTTTCAAGTTAAAATACTCACCCTGTATATCCATCTCGGTTAAATTGGAAAACAAATTCATAATTACAAGTTCTTTTAAATGGCATTTACAGATTGAAAAAAAGCGGTTCTCAAATAATTTGAAAAAACTAAAAATTCCTGGAAATTTTGAGAAGTAAGTTTTACATGTAAACATACACATTTATCTATATTTCATCCAATTTGTGATTTTTTTGCCTACTAGAAAAAAGTTTATATACAAAAAGTGCTCTTTTATTTCCACCCTTACTTCTTAAGAAGTCCCATAAGCCAACTGAATGGCTTGTGCGGGTTAGGGGTAGGAACGGACCGCGGGCTTAAAGTCCCCTCCGAATGACTATTACACAATAGGACAACACAAATAAACAGCCATACCCCTGGTGAGATTCGAACCCACGACCTCCGGCTTGTAGTCAGCAGCACTAACCACTAGACCACCACCATCTTTTGTTTTTCGGAAAAACTTTTTCCCATTGCCGCAAAATTAAAATTGTACAAAGTTAGAAAGAAAAAAATTAAAAAATTTAACGATGTATCAAACAACGTAAATTATGGCGGCCATTATAAAAACAAAACATAAAGATGGTAACTCAAAATATAAGGCAAAAAAATTGGATGTAAATGTTGATTAATGTTTATGTTTAGGTGTAAAACTAACATCTTTTAAATTTTCAGGAATAACGAAGCTATAAAGCTATAAATTTTGATTTATTTTTTAAAATTTTGAGACCCGCTGGCTACTTTTCCAATTTATAAATTTTATCTTAATAGGCTCGTACCAACGCAACCTTTTTCTAATTGAACCGACCTCGTAGATCTAAATAAAAAAATACAAACAGAAGAATACTTGGTGCACCCTGTATATATTATATAGAATGGGTAATTTTAAGTGAAGCTGTTTAAAAGTAAAGTAAATTTATGAAACCAGGGGTGTTTAATTAACATAAACCTTTGAACTATTTCGAAATAAATAAAAAAATGGTTTAATTTTATTATGTTTATATCTGTTTTATTTTTTTATTTGTGATTTGTATCTCATTAAAATTCACTAACATCTAATTAAAATATTTCCCAAATAAATCAAAGAAGCTTCCACACACACATATTTTCAAACAAAAAACTGTGGATCCTTCAGCCAATAGAGCATCTTTAAACGTCACGACCGCCTACTACCACTCAAGAAATGTATATCATTGGGCGCCTGAAAATATGTCACATGTAAATGAGATGTTTCAAACCTCATCCCGAGCACATTTAAGTTAATTGCTTTAGCAACTACTTTAGTATACGTGTGTGATTTGATTTGGTTATGTGATAAGTTCTTAAGTTAGTTTAAAATGCCTTTTATTCATGATATAAAAATGGAATCGGAAAATAATGACATGTCAAACTATTATTCCTTCCCGAAAACCAATTGTTTCTACGCCAACTATATTAAGTCACCAATGCCTCCTTTAATTGACTACGCGGAGTACCAAGTGATGCAGGATAATACTACGAATTCCGCAGAAGTGATGGAAAGCTTTGCTCCTTACCAACATACTTATCAGGATTACTACTGTTTTCAAAGAACCAATGATTATTTTTTGGAAAAGGACGAAGTTAAAAGTATTGAAGTTTGGAACTCCGAATTAAGAACTTTAAATGCCCATTTCCATGGAACACCAGATTGTGATTTTCAATCAGAATATTCTTGTAAAGAAAATGAAGTTTGCAGTGAATCATACGTTGTGGATAATGAGGATGCTAGTTCGCCATATTCTGATGATTCCTTAGGTAAGCTTCCTACCATAAAAGCTTATAAACTATAGTTTCAACAAGACTAAGTCTATACAGATCCGTTAAAAAAAATGTTATCAATTATTTTTGACTAATTTTAAGAAGGCTCTGACTAAACTATTAAAGATTAAATAACTAAATTTGTTGCAAATTTATATTTAGAGATATATTATATATTTTTAAAGCATTTTTGTTTTTTATTTCACCGGATATCAATTTTTTTTCTGATCATATAGTCTTTAGCCTAACAGAAACTTCTCGTACGATGATTTAAATTTATTAATAATAAAATTAGATTCCTGGGTCTATCTATCACCTTACAAAATTGTTGAGTTTTAAAAACTTTGTTTGAGAAATTAAATTCAAATAATTAATTAATTAAATAAAATAAAAAATACATTTTAAGTTAAAATAAGTACATACTTACTTATAAGTTGACGTAAGTTATTTTTAAAGTAAACGAAAATGGTAAAATAAGGCTACAAATTACCAAATATAGGGAATGGTTTAATACGCTATTTTTATTACATGAGGACCGTGCGCAAGGGGGGTTTGGCGTTGAATCCCTCCAACGGTTTTAAACTAAAATTTTCAATAAAGATGCTGAAAAATAACATATAAATATATATTTTTTTATGAAATTTTTATGAAAGAATCATTTAAATAAAATTAAACTAAAGTAACATGGTATAAGTATTCCTATGCTTAGTTTTAGTTTTGACAAATAAAAACCGCAATAGAAACTTAAAACAACAATAAAACAAAAAATATAGAATTCAAAAAATTCTCTACAATTAGATATTTGTTACCTACCTCTACTATTCGTGTCTACTATAGTATATATATATAATATACGAGCCCTAACCACATAATGTTCGGACACTTCATAATTTATACAGAAATTTTTTTCGTGAATACTATCTCAAAATTATTAGAAGTTATGAAAAATTCAGCTTATTTTGGCATATACCCCTCGAAGCGATTTTTATTTTTAAAAAGTTTACCTTTTATTTTTAGCTTTTAAAAAAAGGCTAACTTTTTAACTTTTTTTTGCATGAGTAAAAAAAGTTATAAATGGGCCCATTAAAAAGAACATAAAATATTATACAAACCCTGAAAATTTGGTAAAAATTGTATAAATAATAAGAAAGTTATAGCGATATATATATCTGCAAAATCTCCCGTTTCCTAAGAAAATTGCAAAAACTCTTTAAAAATAGCGTTTTTAAATTACTTACACTTTTTTATAACTTATTTAATTTTTACCAAATTTTCAGGGTTTGTATAATATTTTATGCTCTTTTTAATGGGCCCTTTTATAACTTTTTTTACTCATGCAAAAAAAAGTTAAAAAGTTAGCCTTTTTTTAAAAGCTAAAAATAAAAGGTAAACTTTTTAAAAATAAAAATCGCTTCGAGGGGTATATGCCAAAATAAGCTGAATTTTTCATAACTTCTAATAATTTTGAGATAGTATTCACGAAAAAAATTTCTGTATAAATTATGAAGTGTCCGAACATTATGTGGTTAGGGCTCGTATAATATATATATTCGTGTATACACGATACCGTATACGGTTAAGGAAATAACGGACTTTAAAAGTTGAATTTTTGTTTAATAGTTTTTAAATATTTCGCGAATTTATTAAGTAATAAAAATTGGCATGCTTATTGTTTGTAGGAGGAGTGTACATTTTTTAGCACACTTTTTGTTGCTGCGTAAGTGGTAGTTGTTCCTATACTTTAAAAAATATCATAACTTTTAACCAATATTGAATTTTATGTTCATAATGTAGGTAGTCTTATTATAAAGATTTATTGTCTTCTGTTTAATTTTGCTATATATCATGGTTCGATCAGAAATTTGATTTTTATATCAACAGTTACCTATTATAATAGCATGAATTTATCGGTTATAGTGAACATTATAGATACAAATAAGCAAGTTTTTGATAGTAATACATCTGAAATAATAAAAATAGGATACACGTTTAGCGAACACTACTTAATTATAATGACCGTTTTTTAAGTTAATTTAAATTAAGTAATAAACACGTAAAGCTATTTTACTTAAAATCATTGATGCTTAAAATGCTGTTTGAGTAGTCATCCAGAATTACTGGGAAATATACCTATACCTAAAAAAATATTTTAAAAATGTTTTATTTCAAACATTTACCTCCGATGTTATTTAAATGGTTGGTTTTACGAAAAAATCGTAAAAGACTTCTTTCTATATTGTTGCATGTTTATAAATTAGCGAGGTATAAATATTTTTTATCTCATTACAATGTCATTTAGACACCCTGCAGTTAAACGACCAGGATTTTTTTAAATTAATTTTAGACTGAGGGCCGGTTTATCAATCTTTATTTAGTTCCATTATCTACCAGATATATAACTAACTGCAACTTTAACCGGATATTGATAAACCAGCCCTGAACAAATAATTTAGATGTCACCCAAGTGCAAAAAAACTGACACCCTAATATAAAAAAATTAAGTTAAAAATGTATTATTCACCTGAGTACCTACACCTAAGATAAAAAAAGAATAATATATGGATGTAATAACTTCGTTGTTAAAATAACTATTAACATCCTATGTTGAAGTTTTGCCAACTTGTTTAGTTTACCTATAGTTAATACTTTTTAGTAAGAAGTTTTTACAGAAGATAATATCCTCATTAATAAATAAAATAAAAATCTGGCGTTTTTTAAACTTTACTATGGTTTTATACAAAATGTATACATTTAATGTATTAATTTCCAGTTTGTAGCTTGTAAGATCGAATGTCTATTTTTGTATCTTTGATTGCTGAAAAATATTTTTATGTTGTAGATAGGTAGGTATCTACATTTTTTTACAAATTTTACAAAAGTGACTATGACCATAAATAATGTAATAATAGAAAAATGAAAATAAAAACAATAATAATTCGAATGAATTATATTTTTGCGTCATTGGTATGTCCCATTAAATTAATAGGTGTATAACAATTGTATAATGCATATCTTTTTATAAAAACTTTGAGAAACACAAAGCAATAAATAGATTTTTCTACTCCCACCTTTAAAAAGCACTTTATCGTACATGTTTCCATTACACTAAGTGACCTTTTAAATACACGTTGTGGTTTTACGGCGTTTTAGTCTCGGGCTGAAGTTAGCAACATGTTTTTAGTCACGGGCTGAAGTTAGTTTTAAGATAGTTGACAGTTGTAAAATGGCATACAATCGTTAAAATAAAGTGCCTTTCTTGTAAAATAATACTAAATGTGAAAATTATTTTATTATCTCAATACAAAAATACGTATTAAATAGTTTCTCAACGCCAATATTTGAAAAGTTTATATGAACATTGTACTGACCTTTTAATTTCGCCGGCAGAAAACTATAACTTAAATTCGGGCACGGACTCCACTGTAAAGTGCTCATAAAACATTTTCTATACTTTCACTGTAAAAAAACTGTCCATTTTCAAGAAATACATTTCGACCTTTATAATCTGTGTTTATAAAATAAAAAAAATTGACATTTGACGGTTACACACAGATTCCCCTATTGTTTCATAGATGGCGCTCTATAAAAATATTTGATTTAAATCATTTTAAGATAATAATAAGTATTTGTCGTAGAAAAAGTATAGTATGCACCTCGTTTATAAACTTTTCTATACACTCATTAATTTAAGAACTCGCTCGCAAGCTCGCTCGTGCCTAAATTAAATTCATGTATAAAATGGCGTTTATCAAACTTGATACATAATATACTATTATTTTCGTATAGGTACATATTTATCTTTTATCTTTAATTTTAATTTAGTCATTATCTATTTAACTTAAATTTTTCATAAATTCTTTGATTTCCAAATATCACAACTTTTACCACATAAATCACTCCCTTGTAAAACTAAACGTAAATAACTAATTTGTGAATGTCACACGATTGTTGACGCATCTGTTTCGTTTTTGGACATTTCCTTTTTCGTTACGGCTCTTTTAAGCTTGGATTATCTTTCAATGAAGCGTGTCTTGTAGGATTTAACCTGTCCATGTGTGTGGTATTTTATAAAATAATGTTTTTGGTAGATACTTTGAAAAAGTTTAAATTTTACTTTTTAATTTTTTGAAGTCAAATTTGCACACTGCATTTTTTATTAAATCAGTTCTTAAATTAGACATTTCGCAAATTATAAATGCACAAAATATAATTAAAAAATAAATTAAATATAACAAGTTTAATTAAATCGCGGTTCTTTTGATAGAATAAAAGTAATTTCCTCCATTAAATAGAAAACTGAAGGTTAGACAAGTTAAACTCGATTTAATTTACTACATTTTAGCAGATCTGGGGCTAAAGGCCCAAAATGTTATAATAATTATTATTTGAATCAAAAATGCGATAATAATCCATACTCACATATGTATATACCCTGTAACTAACTGAATTGCTTGGCTAAACTTCACAAACGGAATGCATGTTCGTATCAAGCACGTAATCCGTATGTTATATAAAATGTTATATAAAATGTAAGTTAACTAATACAACTATATTGCAATGTGCTTAATATTAAAATCCCCAAATTTGTCATTCACCCGACATTTGGTGCAGAGTTGCAATGTAAAAAATAATGCAATTGTCATTTTTTTAATGGTAATGTAGATTGAATACATTAATCAATAAAAAAAATTAATGACAAAATATTTTCATTACACGTTAAAAAATTAATGAGTAATGTCAAACAATACATTACTCATTAAAAAATAAAAATGAGTACCTAATGAGAGACCGTACATTACACATTAAAAAAAATGTGTAACAAAAGACATTACCCATTTCATCAGTGAAACATGATCAGGGGGGGGTTGGATCTTGGGTTGGAAAAAATATTTTTACTTTATTATGAAAATATTTTCTTTATTCTTTATGATCTTCTTAAACATTTTCTTAAAACAACAATATACTTGAACCTTCTTGATGAACCTCTTGGTTTTTATAGAAATAAATAATTTTCACTGATAACATAGTAATTTTCTTAAAACTTAATCTTTTTCTTTAATAAAGGTGACTATTAAAATAAAAAATAAACAATTTTTTGTAATGAAATTGATTAAATAATAAATTATTTCCGCTCAGAAGTCCATACTTTTTGTAAAAGATCAATTAGGTACACTTTTATCTATTCAAACCGCGAAAAAATTGAAAAAATGTGTCATGCAATAAAAATCTTCCTTGCCCACTTAAAATGAGTAATTTGATAATTATTCATTTCTCATTAAAACTAAAAAATGAGTATACTATAGTGTAAAGTAAGGACATTACTTATAAAAATAAAAAATTGTAATTGAAAATCTCAAAATACTCATGAAAAATTAAAAATCAGTAATGTAAAAAGAATACATTACCCATTGGAAAAAATGTAATGAAAATGAATTTAATTTTCATTTAAAAAGAAGTAATGCATAATGAAAATTAAACTCATTAGTCATTATTTTAATAATGTGTATTGAAACCTTTATTTGCAACTCTGAATTGGTGTTACCAAAAAGTTTTAAATCTTATATAAAACTATATAGCAAATATAGCAAACAAATCTGAAGATGTGTCCCCCACATAATGCTGGGTAACAAATGAGGTGAGCAATAAAACATTTTAACCCCGGTGCTGCACCGATCGATAAAGGGGTATGTGGTTATTTATTATTATTATTAATATTATTTTTTTTATTAAAATTGATGTTATTCTGTTTTCAACATTGGTGATCCCCGTCCCAATATGGCCAATATGTTTAAACATATTATTTTGGTTTCCATAAAATCGATGTAATTATATTATATGTATGTAATAGTCTTTAATTGGATGTACAAAAAATATTTTTAAATAAAAATTATCAGTTTTTATTAATAATAAATTTTTTAAAATCAAATAAGAGAAAAACAGTTTAATAAACAATCAAATGTTCATAATGTTCATAATGTTTTATACAAGAATACTTTATTTTAATCAGAATCACTTTCGTCTCTTGAGTCATCAAAAAAATAGTCGATCAAATCTTTTATACTATATAATTGAGAATAGGAACACTCTGAACCGAGCAATATACTAATAGCTTCGGTCGTTAATGACATATTTTTTTGATGATTTCTACTCATACTCGATATGAATGGGTCTAAACTTCAGGGGTGTCAATCCCGGTGTAATAAAACAATCCCGAAAATCCCAGGATACAAAGTCTTAATCCCGAGATCTTCTTAATAACTTACAAAAAATAAAAAATAATAACTAATAATTAATTAACGATGAATAATAATAATAACAATAATTAAAAATAACAACAATAATTAATTAATTACCGAATAATGCCGCACAACAGGTGATGTAATATTGTTAACAATTTAGCCCTAAACTTTAATGTTTATAAATATTAGTTTTTTTTACATATACTTTTGGTTATAAAAATTAGACAGTGTTTTCTTAACTACCTCCATACATTCAAAATACAAAATATGGTCATAAAGACAAAATGGAAACATTAAACATAAATTAAAAAAACTTCTTAGCTAAATAAAATAAAAAATAGCAAACGTAGAAGAATTCGTATACGAATTCTTGAAATCCATTCCTCCAACTACTCGTATATATGTTGTTTGTTTGTTTGTTTATTTTAAATTGGTTTTAAAATTAAAGATCCCGGGATTAGTTAAATAAGTCCCGAAAGTCCCGGGATTGAAAAATGGCTCCCCTAGTCTGAAGGGATGAGAAGGCGGTTAAAAATATATTGCATTGTAACTATATATTAATCTAAAATATTTGACACTTTAAGGTTTTTAATGCAAAGCACACTTGTGTTAAAGAATAAAAGGCAATTTAGTTAAATTTGGAGTACCTATTATTTTTTGTTCAAATGCAACAAATTAACAGAAGACCACTTTATTGATATCACAACACTTAGATCCCTTTTAAACTGTAATTTGGTAAAAATTTTAGGTCAAGCAGGCTGAAACTGCATAAAATTAAAATATTTGTTTGGTTTATTACATGGAGGGTTTTAAAATTTCCGGAAAAATTGAGCCAGAGAAAAATTTGGAAATTTTCAGAAAAAGGTCCCAACCGACAGTACTTTTACGTTAAGTTTCTTTTATCAATTAAATTCTATTCATTGTTTTATTTGTTTAAAACAAATTGTTTTTTTTATTTAATAAAGTATATTTTTTTAAATTAAAAGAATGTTAAGTTGTTGATTGCTACTTTTCTTAAAATGTGTATATTTCAAAAAAAACAAATTTAGCCAAAAAAGACAATTTTTAAAGGCCTGTGAAAAAAACAATTTTTTCTCCAATTTTTTTTTTCCTATATTTTTAAACCCTAATTACATGTAAGTGCACTGGTAAGTGCACTTATCTCAAAGTCAATCCGGGGACACGCTGTAAATATGTTTTTATTTTTACAGATCTTAAACAATCAGAGCTTAATGGTAAAGGACGAAAGGAACGTACAGCATTTACTAAAAATCAAATAAAGGAATTAGAGAAAGAATTCGATCATTCTAATTATTTGACAAGATTAAGAAGATATGAGATTGCGGTAGCTCTGGATCTAACTGAACGACAGGTAACTTCAATTTTATTTTTTTAAGATTTTCATTAAGTCTTCTAATGTGTACTGCCCTCGCATTTGGCAGCAATATTAGTTAATTAAAATAACTTAATCTTATTCCAGGTTAAAGTGTGGTTTCAAAATAGAAGGATGAAATGGAAAAGAACAAAAGGGGGAGATGATAAAATCAAAATGAAACAATCAAAAAAGAAATTAAATTTATAAAAAAATTTACTAAGCAATGTCTAAACATTTGTAAATATGTATTTAGCCGCAGTTTGTCCAGATGTGATGGTCAAGTGTAGGATGTGTTTTTATACCTTGTTTTTAAAATCCTAAATTTCTTTTAACACATTGACTTTGCAGCCAGGGGCGTAGCGAACCCAAGCAGCATTTTTGGTTCCAAAAACCATTGCCAAAGTGGTGATAACTTTAAATTAGTTAAGTATACTAAACAGCTACTTTAATTTTTACTTAAAAGTAATTCTAACTTTTAAATAGCAATATTTTGTAACAGAAACTTAATTTTTCCTTAAATTGTTACTATAAAGTAATAAACATTTAAGTAAAACTTGGTTGCCCCCAAGAAGACTTTGCAACTTTAAAAAAGATGTTATAAGTAAAAAAAACTTTCAAGTAAATTTAATTTGTAGCAGTTACTTTCGGTTGCTACCTAAAGATTACATTATAATTATTTTTACTTTGTAGTCCCTTTGCAAGTTAAAATCTCGAAACTGGAACATGAGTTAAAAACTACAAAGTTAATAACTTAAAAGTTATTATTTTAGTATTTGGAACGTTTATGGTACTAACCAAAACAACCGTAAAGTGGAAAAAAACTTTAAAGTAGCGAAAACTACTTCAAAGGAAAATGCTTCTTATCGGCCATTTTTTACTGTACACTACCACGTGGTAATGTAAATAATAAATTATTTTAATTGTTTGTAAATGGTTGTTTACTTTTTAATAAATAGAAATATTGTTGGTAATAGACGGTATTAATAATTAAATAAAAAAAATAATAATAAATATTAAGATTTTTTTATTTATAAACATTACTAAATAAATAATTTGTTTATACTTAAATATTGATGAAGCGCATTTATTTTACAAAAACTAAATTCATAAGTTCAACAGTAAAATTTAAAGGGTTTATAAATCTACATGTCTAATTAAACATTATATTGTTATTCTGGAAGTTATAAACTACCAGTACATATTTAATAAACGACGACATTGAAAAGCCAAGTCCGTAGTAGTTCCATTTAAAAAAGGAGGGATAGTATAATCTAATATAAGTTTGACAAAGACAGTTAATATAGAAGTAAAAACAAATAATAAAAGTAATTATAACGCTCTAGCAACGATATTGGAACGTTCTAGTAACGTAGCAGCTACGTCCCAAATAGTAGCAGGGTTGGTAGCTAGTGACATATTTGCTACCTTTTTGGAACTCAATAATTGTTCCCCACTTTAGTCGTAACGTAGTAATGAAAGAGTAATATAAAGAGACCGGCGACTGTCGCAAAACACTTTGAAGTTTCTTTAATAGTCCCATATACGTAACAAATACTTAAATTGTTGCTTGGGAAGGTTCCGATTATGGGGGGTGATGTTCATTAAAATCCGACTTTTGAATCTTGAAATGCAAGGATGATTGCATACTTTTTAAAAACAAAAATTCCAGAGGACTTGATATTTATTTGCCCGATTACCTAATAGAAAATATACAGAAAAAATGATGAAAAATCATCTTTCCATTTATTGGAAATGTTGTAATATATGAGACACTCCATTTACACACCCCGCGCTACTTCCCTGAGTGCAGCAAACACAACAACAATTATAATAATAAATTTAATGAAATGTTCATAAAAGTATACTTAAACCTTTAATTTACCTAATTTACCCTAAATTTTTTTTCTTTATAAAAAACAATAAACCAACTATATCCCGTATACGGGATTCTGCATCGCACCTAGTGTGTGCTAGAAAGTAGTGTCGCAAATTTCAAACCCCCTACATACCATAAAAAGATATAACATAACATAAATATTATAACATGCTGTACTTATAATATAATATTATTTATAAATATATGTATACAGGGTGCACCAAGTATCCTTCTATGTGTATACTTATATGGGTATTTTTTTTATTTGAAGAGCTAAGTATATGTAGCTTGCAAGGTAGATTATATATAACCTACCTTGTAACTCTCTCTTATAGCTATTTTAAAAGTTTTTTTCAATTCATGATTTTCCTTTTAAAAGCTTTTAAAAAAGTTGCGTAGTTACAATTATTGTAATGCTGCTTTTTTTTTTAAAATTACGCAAAGAAGCCGGAAATAAACCTGCAGGTTTTATTATAAAAACGCTACACAAAAAAAGACATCTGTTATCAGATGGCAGCAGCAGGATCAACCACCCCTAAATATAAAAGGAACGATTTTTTTTTCTAATTTAACCAAGCATGATACTAATAATGTAGTATCATGCTTGCAAGCTACATGTAGCTCTTCAAATAAAAAAGATACCCATACATAGAAGGTTGTATATTATTTTGGATTAATATAAAATATAAGTATAATTATAATAAAATACGTTTGTTTAATTTAATGTCCTTATGTCCTTTCCATTGAACTTATTTAATAGGTACCTAATGTAAACAAATATGTATATAACATGTGTTCTGTGTTCACATTATAATGTGTCGCGAGGAGAAATTACATATTAATTACATACTAATTAGTTATACGTTCAAATAATTTTTAAATAACAAACCTCTTAACTTAAAAAAATTATACAATTTATTTAGATTTCATAAAATAATGACCAATTTACATTTAAAGAAGAAAACTAATAATTTAAAAGGGTACATCCCTGATTTTTTTATTCTAAGAATGTTTTTTAAACCTTCCAGTGGGAATATTCTTAGGATCATGCTATACATATATATATATATATATATATATATATATATATATATATTCATTCTAGTCATGTTGTAAGAATGTATTTTAAACCTTCCAGTGAGAATAGTCTTAGGATCATGCTATATTTCTTCTAGTCATGTTCTAAGAATGTTTTTTAAACCTTCCAGTGAGAATATTCTTAGGATCATGCTATATTTCTTCTAAAGAACATGCTTAAAAGAAATATAGCATAATCCTAAGGCATATAGGCAGGTTCTTAGAAGGTGCAAAGTTTAGTGGTAAAAATTAATCCACTCCGAGGGGTCAACCACCCAAAGGAAAAACGTCCAGGGATTCCCATGTATACCCATGTATTCCCATTGTATTCCTATGTTATTCCCCCTCTAAAATGTCCATTCATTCCTAGGTGTGGTTGACCCCTCGATCCACTCTAAACATATGCTTAGAATGTTGAGAAAGTAATTGCTATAGAAAGTTCATTTAGGAATATTCCTGGAACATTCTGTTAAGCATATTCAGTTCAGTTAGGTACCTATATACACTGAGAAAATTACAATCTTAAATTATCTTAATGAAATTATCTACATAGTGTTCAAAATATATCTAATAACCAGTACAAATTATCTATCTGTGATATGAAGACGAATTAAGGTGACTAATAGATACGTTTTAATAAAGTGTCAAAACAAAAAATATAGATCATCTGTATATTTATATTTTAACAATCATAAAATATCTAAATACCACCATAAACTTAGATTAATATGTCGCTGTTCTTTAAATTATTTTAATGTCAGTGATAAATAACTAAATATGGTTAATAGACGACCTTATTAAAACTTGTCTTAATAGCCATTACTAGTCAATTGTAAACACATATCATAAGATTGTGAACCACCTTAAATTATCTTAAGACCTTAAGTAGTTGTATAATGACCTTAACAAACTCATCTTCCTAACTAACAGATTCGGCTTTCCGACTATACTCGAATCGACCAATCGTTTAACTAGCGTCCATAGCTTAGAACAGCGTCCTCTGTGGAAGCGTCATTTATTATTTCTCACTTGTTAACGGGAAATTGAGGATAATATTAAATCGTTTATAGAAGAAAAAGGGCGTTTCTTTACAATTGTTTTGCGGTAATTTTACAGAACATAGTAATGGCTTTCAAAGTTACTCTGCTTGAATGGGGGCTCAGTGATTTTGTTAAAGGATTTGAAGGTAGGTTCAATTTCTTTCTATATAGTTTCCGGGGTCCCTGCATTAAACATTTAAAAAATTCATCCTGTATTTAATATGTTGATGATACTTTTATAAATGTATGCTTTGAAGTTTATTTTATAGGATATTGGTAAAATCTGAAATATATTTTTGGTAAAATGTTTACAATTTATTATTATTAGGTACCATATTTATAAATAAAACTGCTTGAGAAAAATTACCAAGATTTTTAATAGGTCAGAATATTGGCTTTGCAAATCATGATTCCTTAATTTATTATTTAATTATACATGTATAAAGTTATAATTTTAAGATGGCCTATCTGCTGAAATAGTTTAATGTTTTTAAAGCTCAATTGTTATCTTTCTTTTTAGGGTAGACTGGCTAAAAATGTTCAGAAAATTATGGAGTTAACTAAATGGAAATAATCCTTAAAAGTATTATTAATTAATATTTCTACTAAAAGTACCCAGGTAGCACACTGACTAGGGGTGTCAATCCCGAGCCCATTTTCCAATCCCGGGCCTTTTGGGACTGGCTAAAAATGTTCAGAAAATTATGGAGTTAACTAAATGGAAATAATCCTTAAAAGTATTATTAATTAATATTTCTACTAAAAGTACCCAGGTAGCACACTGACTAGGGGTGTCAATCCCGAGCCCATTTTCCAATCCCGGGCCTTTTGGGACTAAAGGTAACTAATCCCGGGATCCCGGGATCAGTCCCGAAAAAATATATATCATTAATTTTAAAACCAATTTAAAATAAAACAACAAACAAACTAACGAACGATATCTTTCGGACTTCATGAAGTGTGCACACTAGTCGGAAGAATGGTTTTCAAGAATTCGTAGGCACATTGTACCCACGTTTACCCCCATTAACAAATAATTCCATTTCTTTTATCAATCGGGCCTTGATGAGTTCCAATTGGGGCTGTAACTTACATTGAAATTATCAATTGAATTCAATTGATAATTTCAAAACTTAAGTTTGTGACATTTTTTCAGGTTTGACGTTTGAAATATGTTATATTACAGTGACGTGTAATTTTACATTTTCTTTGCT